AAAAAGGTTTTAAAATCAACTTTTTGAACTTCAAAAAGTTAAATCCTGTTGGTGCCCTGCAACTTGTATATACACTTCTCTAATTCAGGGAGGGGAAGGGGAAAAAAAACGAAATACTTAAATAAGGATACAGGATGACCCATTGCAACAATGAGTGTACAAAACACTGTTGAAAACAAACTTTACAACTCGGAGGTAGGGGGGGAATAGTTGTTGTGGAGGTGGGAGGGAAGGGATGGTAGGAGGAAAAACAAAGGAGGAGGCAGCAATGCTCAATAGGACATGTACTCATTACCTTGTTCATATAACTGTAATCTCTCTGTGCAGTATTTTTACAATAAAAAATGTACAAAAAATAAATAGTTTAGGACAACACCAAAAAAACACAGTTAAATCCCAACTCTACATTGAGCAAAAGTTTTTAATGCATGAATTCTGCTTGTGAACTTATTTAAAATTATCAAATTAGAGAGTCAAGTTCTTACAAATTGCACCAATGATTACTATACCACTAGCTACATTATCATCAACAGCATCATCAGGAGGAATACTCTGTACCACCTCCACCATCTCTATCATGATTTAACACTACAACTAGATAAAAATCACTACCAGTGATCATAAATGAAAGCCTTTTAAATATCTGACAAACCTGGGCTGGGATGTAGCTCAGTGGCAAAGCACTTGCCTAGCAAGTGCAACATCCTGGGTTCGACCCCCAGTACCAAAAAAGAAAAGACAAAAAAAAGTACAGTTTAAAAAAAAAAAACCCCAAACAAAAAATCTGACAAACCCAAAATTACATCCTACAGAAACAAATCTCATACTGACAACAGATAAAACACATTGATTATCTTAAGTGTAGTCTTCATCCCTAATTACAATGCAGGAGTGAAAACAAAATTTATTTTCTCTTTCTGGCTGCAAGTCCAGCCTTAGACAAAATTTAAAATTTCTGAAATTTCAGCCTTTATTCATTTTGTCTTTTGCATTCTTATCTAGAATCTACTGCCTTATATGTATCTAAGCATTACTGTGTCCACACTATAATACTACTAAGATCCTAACAGGAAATACTACATGCAAGCCTACTATGAATCCTAATGTGTTCCCTTAAGACTTAAGGGTCACAAGCCTATATCTACTACAACCAAAACTTCCTGATTTCAGTAAGGTGTCAAGAGGAAAGGAATTGAATTGTATGACTTTACTTATTAGCAAACCATCTGGTTTTTGTTATATTATTATTACTATTTTCAAAAAGACATTTGTAAACATTTTTTCCTAAGTAAAATACAATGAAATTGCCTTTAAAGACACAAAGAATCATTCGCTTATTTTATACCTTACTCAAAGTCTGTATATTTCTATAGAGATTATGTCCATAGAGATCATGTGGATTTAATATTTTCAGCTTTATGCTTTCCTACAAACAAGTAAAAAAGAAAAATAGATGCTGAAATAGTACTGACATTTTCACAACAATTTAATTTTGAGTAGCATCAAAAATTCCATAATGAAGGCTAGAGAAAGCATAAAAAACTCTGGGTTGAGTGTATATAAATAATGAAATTCAAAAATCTCAAAAGTAATAGCATATTAAATTTAATCTCCAATCCTACTAATCACTGGATGTTTTGGTCCTCTCTTCAAGGCTTATAGCTAAACAGTCACAATCTACCAAGATTGGCCAAAGGACCATAGTGGTCTCTAGGTATGTCTCTCAGTCTCTAAATGCATTCACTAAAGCACACACTGTAGTAGGTAGCTAAGGATACATCTAGTGACACAGTACTTGTGTAGTATGATTGAAGCCCTAGATTTAATCCCAATCTCCACCAAAAAAAAAAAAAAAAAGACAGAAAGACATAGATAAAATTAGGTATCTCTCTTATAGAGATACATACAAACCACAGTATTTGTCATACAGAAGGACATAGGAGCCAGGTGACAGTGGCTCACACCTGTAATCCAAGCTACTCAGGAGGCTGAGATCTAAGGATCCTGGTTTCAAAGCTAGAGTAGGCAAGAAAATCTCAAGAAGCTGAGATCTAGGGATCCTGGTTCAAAGCCAGCCTAGGCAGGAAAGTCCATGAGACTATTATTTCACATTAACCACCAAAAGCTGGAAGTAGAGGTGTGGCTCAAGTGATAAAAGTAACAGCCTTGAGCAGAAAAAAGCTAAGCAAGAACTAAATTCAAGCCCCAGTACACGCAGAGAGGGGGCGGGGAAGAGGGGGAGGTATAAATTCTCTGCTTCTTGAGACTTTCTAGGATAAATGAATCTTACCAAAGATACATTAAGTCGTTGCACCAACATCATTCACCATGGTAACACAAAGTATACTTAGACAACTTCTTTAACTAAGGCATTTTAATTAAGAAAGCATTAGATTGCTTTGTAACTATGAATTCTTCTAAGCTTCTTTGTATTCTTATTTTCTGCTCCCAGTAATTACAATGGAAGGGTAAACTAGTGTTTGTTTTTGCATGTATTCAACAAATAATGTCTGCCTAATCAAATTCCCATAAAATATGAAACGCCAAAAAAAAAAACAAATTTACTCAATGTTACTATGATTTGTAAAGTGTAATTATCCTTTAAGTCATCCTTTAATAATTTAAAAAATAATTAATGCTTTTTAACAGACTATAATCATTTCTAATTAGCCTATTTACAACTTACACCAAATGATTCTCCATTTTTCTGTAGAGGATTTAAAATTCTGGCAGATTCCAGATTCATCCAGATTTTAGATATATCTTACGTTTGGAGTTAGTCATCTAATTTCTTCCTTTTACTTCTTTATTGTTAATTATGTCTTTATGGAAGAACTAATAGGTTAAATCTGGGAAACAGTTTATCTTCATAACTGACAGCATCTAAGATTATTCAAAAGCTCTTTTCTGAACACCTCATTACATTACTTCATCTTCACACATACCATATTGCAATGAATATTCCAAGTATGAATAAGGCAAGGTTATTCTGCCCAAGTCCTATAGACAGAGGCCAGAATTTGAACTTGCCCAGTCTCACACTAAAACCCTAATCACTGCCAGTGTTATCTTCTATAAAGAGGCAGTTTAAAACAACAACACCAGGGTTGCTCAAGGCATCAGAATAAAAGGTGTCTGCAACTATTCTTTTACATCCCCTAACTTCTCTTTGTATAAGTCAGTGTAAGTCAGTACTGGGAAAAGGGAGACAGCTTGCTTAGAGTTGGCCTTTCCTAGAACTATTAAGAGCAAAAGAAGTAGGCATCACCATTTACCATTTCAATAAGAGGCTTTGTACCAGAAATAAGTAATTACATTTATAGATCTAATTTCTAAAACTAAACCAGTATTTTATAGTGCTATATCAATAGCAATAATCTTATTCAAAAAAGTAAGTATATAAAATGGCTTTTTAAGAGTTACTACCAAAGATAAAACATTTGGTTAAAGGTATAAAATTACTTCTTGTGTAAAATTCATTTCCATTGTCTCCTACATTGTATATTGAACTCAAGAGACACTCTGAAGGCTAGGCTTAGTAATTCAAACCTACAGTCCCAGAACTCAGCAGACCAAGGCAGTACACTGTGGTACACTGGAAAAATAAATTAAGAATCTAAGTATATGTACTCTTACTGACTTCCACTGCACATAGTGAACACAGAAGGAAAAAGGACAGGTTGAGCTAACAACATTCATAGTCCATATTCACATGCAAACATATTTGATGCAATAAAATGATCTTTCTTGATGCCTTCTTAATGTAATTAGTGATCTATTAAAAAGGTAGGTCCACAGGTAGTTGACAATACCTCGCTATATTGACCTAAAATGTATACTAAAAAGTCCATTCCTACTATTAACATTCATTTTTATTTTATTATCTTTAAGTAATTGTATAATGGAGTTGCCTAACAAAGCAGTTTATGAATACAATATATCTTGACCAATGTCATTCCATCACCCCTTTCCACATTCTCACTTAACCCTCTCCTACCCATCCCTTCCCTCAATCTTAATTTAAAGCAGACTATAACTCAGTAAGATGAAGGAAATTTGAAATGAAAATCATTTGCCTACATTTATTATGTCATCCAATATAAATTCAAGTTTATGATATTTCAAATATATTATCAAATATTATTTGAATGGCATGTGGTAGCCTGTAATCCCATCACTTAGTCTGAGGCCAACCTGAGCTACATAGTAAGACCCTGGTCTCAAAAAAAAAAAGAAATGTATGTATGTATATGTGTGTGTGTATATATACATGTATGATTTGAAAGAAATTGTTAATTATCTTATAAAAACTAAAACCCCAGAAGTGAAAAGTTCCCTATATAATCTGTGTTTAAATTACATGAACAATTTGCTGTTTCACCAAAATAGCATGTAAGAAATTGGTAATTCTCAAACATGCAAAGTATTTCCATGTGTTTAACAAGAAAACTATCCAAAATAAGTAATGTTTCTTGGGGCTTGGAAGGTAGCTCAGTGGTAGAGCGCTTGCCTTGCATGCATGAGGCCCTGGGATTGATTCCTCAGCACCACATAAGCAGAAAAACTGGAAGTGGCGCTGTGGCTCAAATGGTAGAGTGCTAGCCTTGAGTTCAAGCCCCACAACCAAAAAAAAAAAAATTCTTATTATCTTATTTGGGTTCCATCTGTTTTTCTCTCCCTTTTCTCTTCTTTTATTTTTGGTCCTGCTTACCTTTGTTTCCACCTACTTTGTTGCCCACCTACTGCATATAGCAGTACTTTTAAAAGAACAGGGCAGCCAGACACTGATTCCAATTTACCCTCAACAAAACTGTGTTGTCTACTTTGAAAATTATTACTTTTCACTTTCCTGCATATAACTATATTTTTAGACATCTAACTAAGAACTGACACTGGTCTTAAATATATACTTCTTTCAGTTCAGTGTAAAAATCAATGGAATCATAGAGTGTAATCCTCATAAAGTATCTTTTCAAATAAGTTATCAGAATAAAGCTTACCATTTTGATACCAGTGGAAAATGTCACAGGTTTCATAGTTTTAGGTTTTTCAAGTTGCATTTCCAGTTGGGTAGATCTGTCTTTATGTTGAGCCAAAAGCAGAGCAACAGGGAGATCAGAACTCTCCTGTAAGGAAAGTTCAAGATGAAACTTAAAAAGGAAAAAATGAGAAGTAACAAGTCTCTTAAAGTATGCTTATGTATTGTCAAAGTTCATAGAACTCATAAATGTTATAGACCACAACAGACAATTTGCCCCACGAAAGTTAGAATGTGTTTGTGACTTTAAGTATCACTATCCCACAATGCTGTGAAATTTGGGAAATTATGTAACCACTTAATCACAATAAAGAATTTGGAAAAAAAAAGTATGCCTTTTCTATAATTATTTGATATCAAACTAAATACTTTATGTAAAGTTTTTAACAAAAAAAATTAACATTCCGTAATAAGGGTGTTGAAACTCATAAATCAAACTAACCTGCAAACAGTATATTAAAGACTATATCACAGGGTCCCATTTCATTTAGTCACCAACACGATTAAAAAAAAAAAAAAGCTAATCGCAAAAAGAGTAGTACAAAGACAAAAGTACTATAACTTAGATCAGATGTTTATCTAAGACACATGTTCTCTTTACTAGTGAGTTCAGACCATTTTGAAATTCTTTCCTGTTAGATTTCACCTGGGGTTGTGGGAAATGATCTTTGTTCTGTTTTGCACAAAGGAACTATTGTAAATACAACCAATCATATATTTATTTTCTCCTTTATTTATGTTTAAAAATTAAATCAAGCCGGTGCCAGTGGCTCATGCCTATAATCCTAGCTACTCAGGAGACTGATATCTGAGGATCGTGGTTCAAAGCCAGCCTGGACAGGAAAGTCTGTGAGACTCTTATCTCCAATTAACTACCAGAAAATCAGAAGTGGCTCTATGGCTCAAGTGGTAGGGCACTTGTCTTGAGCTGAAGAGCTTAGAGCCAAAGCCCAGGCCCAGAGTTCAAGCCCCATGACTGACAAGAAAGAAACAAATGAACAAACAAAAAATAAATGTAAAAGGAATAATAAACTAATAATAATAGCTAATAAACTAATAAAAATAATGGCTAATAAACTAAATCACTGGCTCCCAATAAATTCTGGTGCTAATTCACAACTGACAATTTTTCTAAAAAGCAAAAGTTCTTTATATATAAAGCAAAATAATGTATTCACTTTGAAAAAGTTGCTAATAAGCAAGACTGGCTTGCTTTAATCCTCATTTCAAATTCACATTAAAAGGAACTGAATGTTAAAAATGTCTTGATAAATAGTAACATTTCATAAAAAACAAATTCCTACGTATCTAAAACTAATTTAAATACTGTTACAAATTTACTTTAAATCTACTTATACTTTAGAACTCAAAATTTTAGAGCCCGAAAGGCTTTGAAAATGTTAAGCTAGAATAAAACATGAACTTTAACCAAAAAAAAAAATCTACTGAGCACGGTAAATTGTGAAACCTATATGCTGTGGGAAACACAGAACATGCAAATTCAGTCTTTCAAGTTATTTCAGTCTTCTTAGCATTATATTTCACCTTGAAAGGTTCTATACCCTATAATAATTGCCTAAAGGCACACTGTTTAATATTTAAAGAAATTTTAATAAGACTGCCTGTAATACTCATTAAAAGCTTTATAATGACCCTTTTAAAAGATTATTTTAACTGACTTTAAGCAAGCCATCTGGCAAACAATATTTCTAATAAAAATCAGCTACTGCGTTTGACAACAATATTAACTCATACAAAATTTAAGACATAAACTGAAGAGAATTTTCAAACAGGAATATAAAAAGATTTAATAAGACAGGACCTGATTAAAAATCTTTTTCCAAACTGTTAAAAAAAACTGAATTTACAGTAAGAATTAAATAAATGGATTTTTAAGCCAATGTTATGGCAAATGCTAAGCCATAAACATTAAGACCATAACATTAAAATCCTGTCACATACAGTATAATCTAATGTCAATGCTTTTTAAAAGGTTTCAGAGTGACTTTTGACACAAGGACCAATCTCAAAAACAGGACGCAACAAGTAGTACTTGTATAAATTAGTTCCAGGGAATAATCCAAGGATTTAAGCATCTAGGCATATTTACAAATGCCAATGTTATTGTCCTATTTTTTGTAATAATCTAACAAGTGAACATATATAGAAAAAGAAACATACTATTTCTCTGAGTAAATAATAGTTCAAGAAGATAAAAGAAATTTAATGAGTCAATTAGTTAATAAGAACTAAAAATGTTAAAATATATAACAAAATTACTAAAAATGAAAAATGAATATAACTAAATTTTTAAAATAAATTTTAAAATGAAAACCAGAAAGGCAAACTGCAGTGGTATTCTAAACCAATCTGTTGTAATTAATTGTACTAATGAGTACAGTAAATTACTAAGACTTTATATAACCACCATGTTACATGATCTAAATAGTGAGGAAAGTATGTGCGGTAATGACTTGCAGGTGAAGAAAACAGGAAGTGGGGGGAGGGAGACTCACAAAAACCAATATTAACTCCAGATTATACACAGTGTAGGATGCTGGCAGTTTCACCTCTTGCTTCATGCCTCACTGAATTAGAAGGCGCTTCATGCCAATAGCAGCTCAGTGAAGCAGCAAAGCTTAGTACTTTTTAGGACTAAAAATTATGCCAGAATAATTGCCATGCAAAGTAGCTAACCTTAAAAAAAAACAACTGATATTTGATGAAACAAAAATAGTATACTTTCACCTAATATGTGTATTTAGGATTAATTCAGTTAGCCATACAGAGAAGCATTATGCCCAATAAGTATTTTTTGTTTGTAGAACTGAGGATATAAAAATTGTATCATCAATAGTTAGCAATCCATCCTTTAATAACTTTAATTTCTCACCAAACACCAAACCTATTCAAATATATAGAATACAATATGCATTAATTCAACTGCTAAAGCCAAGTCCACCAACTATTCACTATTATTATTCTATTTTTATACACTTGCCTCATTGTTAGAAATGAATCACCCTCCACTCATAGAAAGTAGACAGGGTTTATGATAAACATGCTATGTGTAAGCCTCAGTAATCACCTTTTCCTTGTTTTTCCTTTACTTTCTCACCTCTCTCATTTAAGTAACCTCCATTTGTTATTCCTGATTAACTGGCTTAAATGCTTTGGGGGCAAAGCAAATGAGAAAATTACATACACATTTACCCCATCGTAGAATAACAGAGTACCAATTAAGACAAAGGAACTAAGAACTAAAACTAAAGAAATGTCTGTCGGAAATGAATTTATATGTACAGAAATGAAAAGGCAGGACACAAAGACTCTTGGACAAAAAGTTTTCTAGTCTGTGATGTCTTCAATATCAATCACATGGGGTTGTATCAAATAATATGGTATAAATCTATGAAAACTTCACTAATAGTAGTATTTAGTTATTATTATTGCTATTATCTAACAAAACTAAGGAACTAGTTGCTAGAAAACACTAAACTAAAACATTTTTCATACAAAATATAAAATACAGTTCTAACACTGGGTACAAAGTCACTATAAACTTCATCACAGAACCAATAACTGAAAAATGAGGTAGTTATTAGAAAATTAATCAAGAGAAAAATACTCTGAAAACAATACATTTTAGTCAGTAAACTTATAAACATAGACAATCTATTAAAAGTATCCTGGCTAGATCAGTGATTTGTCTTTCTCATATGAAAATAAAGTAACAAAAAGAAAGGAGAGAGGGATGGAAAGAGAAACAGAGAAAGGGAAGGAGGGAGAGGGGAAAAGAGGAGGAGGAAGAGATGGGAAAAGAAAGGAAGGAGAAGGGAGGAAGAGGCGATGAGAAAGAGAGGAAGGGAGGGAGGAAGCGAAAAGAAAGAAGAGGGAAGAGAAAGAAGAGAAAGAAGAGAGTGAAAAAGAGGAAGGGAAAGGGACAGGGGGGAGACAGAAGAGAGAGTAGGAGGGAAGGAGGGAGAGAGAATACACAAGAACTTTCTTTGAAGTCTATAAATAGTGCCATGTCTACAAAACAACCATATCTTAGAAAAAAAAATCACTTCAAATCCTTCACAGCAGCTAGCAAGCTATAAATCAGTACATTTATGAATAAGAAAAATTACAATTAAAGTCATTTTCATAATTTCAATCACTAAGCTCTGAAGTACAGATTGGGTACATGAATTAAATTATGCCAGATTCTGGGAAACATTATTTCTTTTCCAAGTGCATACTATATTGATTAAAAATGACCATAATATTCCTGCCAAGTGGTAGGATATATATCCCTTCAGACTAAAACTGAGTGGGCTGTTACTAAGAAATATAGTGGAAATACTACTCTGTAACCTGTCCAAATAGCCCACAGACCACTTGGATTCCTGACCCACAGAATGGTAAACATAAAAGGTTATTATTTGCTCACTTAGTTGTGGAGGATATGGCTTCTTATTCAAAAAGACATTTTAGTATCAATAAATAACTAATAGTAAACAAGAGCATTAACAGTTTGGGAATGCTATTTAAAGGCCATTGACTAGCATGATAGGAAGGAAAACATTTCTTCATCATAATTAGCATGAATACGTACCAGTTCATCTAAAAAGGCCTGTTTATTCTTCCTTTTGAGAATCTGCTGCAGTTGTTCCTCTTTCTGTATGAACAGTCTTCTTTGTTCATTTTCCTGTCGTTCTACCTCTAAAGCTTCTTCCAATTCTTCTTGTTCCCGAGTCTACAACAAAAATTTATATATGGCATGGAATAAATTTAGCAATCAGCAGAAATCCATACCAAACTCTACTTACTGGAAGTATAATAAAACACCCTAATCACTTTTTTTAATAATATAGCACTTTTGCATAGAAGGAAGCAAGTTATTTTATTTCATGTAAGCATGTTAGTATTAAAAGGAATGATACGTACACCTAAACAAATATCTAAACAAAGTACACAAAGTTCAGAAGCAGAACTATAATAACTGCACTTAACAAGTAGAGTTTTGAATACATGAATTATTTATATATTTGTTATATTTATAACAAAACTGAACCCAGAGCTTCATGCTTACAAAGCAAGCAATCTACCATTCAAGTCATGCTAACAATACTTAAAATTATAATTAGTACAGTTAAATTAATTCATTAGAGGATTCTTTCATTTCACACGCCTCAATAAACTAAGTTCCCAACTGCACTCATATACTGTAGTAAAATATGCAAAACTAAGCATCTGCTCTCCTGTATTTCTTACTTTACCAGGAGGAGTAAACCAGTAGAAGTAAAGCAGCATGAACTCAGTCATCTTTGACTACTCCCTCTCTCCATTCCCTTTTTTAATTCAGCTGCTAGAGTTTTATAACCATCTCCCAATATTTTGCAAAACTTTCCACCACTATTACCAAAGTCACTATTGGAACTAAGACTCCCAATTGTCTAGAAGAATTGGTAGGAATAAATCTAAAAGTTATATACATATGTAGTTTGTGTGTGTGCATGTACTTGCAATTAAGTATTGCAAATGTTAACAAGGTATAGTCAGGTACATAGTAAAGACAAAATTAATAGGTGATAAACTTTTCTAGAGAATACACATCCAATCCAAAACAGGTTTATTTAGTGTTTTAAGTGGGATTCTGTCCCCTAAAATATGTTAAACGCCTAACAAATGTGATCTTATTTGGGAAATAGGACCTTATTGATGTAATCAAGTTAAAGTAAGTCTATACTTTAAACAGACACCAAGTCAAGACAGAGGCAGAGATTAGAGGGATGCATCTGAAAACATTGCTAGCTACCACAGAAGCTAAAAGCAGCAAAGAAGGGTCCTCCTCTAGAGCCTTTAGAGAGAGCATGGCCCTGCTGAAATCTTGAATTCAGACTTCTAAGTTATGTAATGCTGAGAAGATAAAATTCCTGCTGATATAAGTCACCTAGTTTGAGCTTTTTACAGAAGCCCTGTAAAATAATATATAAAGACTGAGTTAAAGACTTCAAACAGGGAGGCTGGGTCTGAGGATCACAGTTCAAAGCCAGCCTAGCCAAGAAAGTCTTCTCTCCAATTTACCACCAAAAACCAGAAACAGAGCTTTTCACAGTGACCTAGGCCCTTTCTACTTCTCCAATAAAAACTCTCTGTGTCTATTTCTCTCTCTCCCTTTCTCTTTCTCTCTCTCATACATACAAGCTTTCACAATATAGAATTACAACTCTCAGAACTCTCCATGAATATCTTTGTGTCCTTTCCTCCATTCATTTCACCTGAAATATCTCCATGCTGCCTTTCTAACCCATTCCCAAATTCTTAAATTAAATAACTTCTACTAATTCTTCGAGACTATTCTGACCAGGCATCAGTGGCTCATGGCTAAGGTCTGAAGACCGTGGTTTGAAACAAGCCTAGGCAGGAAAGTCTCTTATCTCCAATTAATTACCAAGAAGCTGGAAATAGGACTATAGCTCAAAGGGTAGAGTACTAGCCTTAAGTGGAAAAAAAAAAAAACCTAGGGAGTTCAAGCCTCAGTTACCAGCACAAAAAAAGACTCCATTCTACTCATACATCCTCTTTCTTGGAACACTTTTTCATTCTTTCAGAATAAATTGATTATACTTCTATACTCTCATTAAAAGGCACATCAGTCTTTCCATGTCCTCACAACACACTGTGAAATTACCCGGACGTAGCTGCTCTTCATCTTCATGTACTATATGCTTACCAGATATACAAAAAGTATGTACTAAAATGATTTTTTTCTCTAAATTGCTGGGATTTTTACACAGCAATCTCTGCTATGCATGAAAACCAAAAACATAAAATAAAAACTAACCTAATCTTAACTGATACTCTTTTTTAAGATTTAAGTATTTTTGTTTGGTTTTTCCACACTCATACCGAAGTCAGATGTCAACTCCATGAAACAAGTAAGCCTTTCTCAGTAGACAACTCCATACTAATATTCTCTGTCAATTCATTTTATATACTAAATCAAGCAAGAGATCACCTTTTTTTCCATCTTTTACACATCATTAATATTTCTGGAACAATAAGATTTCATAGAGATAATAAAAGGCAAGTGGCTATCTTAGGTTTTGTTTTGTTTTTTTTTTTTCCGGTTGTGGGGCCTGAACTCTGGGCCTGGCCGCTGTCCCTCAGCTCTTCAGCTCAAGGCTAGTGCTCTACCACTTGAGCCACAGCGCCACTTCCAGCTTTTTTTCTTTTTGCTTATATGGTGCTGAGGAATCGAACCCAGGGCCTCAGGCTTGCAAGGCAAGCGCTCTACCACTGAGCCACCTTCCCAGCCCTATCTTAGGTTATTTTTTAAAAAATCAACATGTAAGGTAGCTTTTGCTTTATAGACTGCTTCAGGGCTCACTCTAAGCAATGTTATAATTAAACCAACATCTTAAAATATGTGGCCTTAAGGCTATATGCTTTGTCAACAAGCATATAGAATCACTAACAAGTACAATACTCTGCACAGAAAGATCAATAAATGTAGCATGTATGAAATAAAGTATCGCTTTATTCAATCACCTATCATTCTATCATTCTCAAGCATTATAAATTCCTACTTTAAAATAATACCACTAGTCTAGAATTAAATTACTTTCATCACAATTCTCAATATGATTCCCTGGCTTACAACTATGGATGGAAAGAACACTCAGTTGAAAAGAAAAACCCACTATTATTGTATTAAATAGGGCTAATGCAGTAATTTGCAAAGGCATACCATTTTGAAGCATCTTTCAAAGTACCGAGAGAAGGCTAGTAGGCAAAGAGACTAATTCTTATTGCATACTAATATTCTCAGGAATGACATATCTTTTTTAAGAAAGTAAGGTTACGTATGAATAGGAGTGCTAATTCCTTGAGAGCTTTATGACTGACAGGCAAGATATGACTAAAGAAACTTCTTCCAAACACAAAATGAAAATGCAAGGTATATGATCCAAATATCCTGGTATCTGTTTAGTGATGATTATAACATTCTGATAAGGAACCTCAAAAGTAGTTTCCTGCTGGGCGCCGGTGGTTCACGCCTATAATCCTAGTTACTCAGGAGGCTGAGATCTGAGGATCACGGTTCAAAGCCAGCCCGGGCAGGAAAGTCCATGAGACTCTTATCTCCAATAAACCACCAGAAAAACGGAAGTGGCACTGTAGCTCAAATGGTAGAGTGCTAGTCTTGAGCTGAAGAGCTGAGGGACAGTGCTTAGGCAGAGTTCAAGCCCCATGACCCATAAAAAAAAAAAAAAATAGTTTCCTCTACGTTTCCCCCAAAATTAGAGACCCAAGTTATTTTTTTAAAAAAATTCAGAGCTGATTTTTATTTTGTTTTGTTTTTTGTCAGCCATGGGACCTACTACTAGTCAAATGCAAACTTAACAAAAAATTATACAGACAAAACCAACAGTAACAAAGGCAGGCACACCTAGCTTTGAGCAAAAAAGCTCAGGAAAGCACACAGGCTTGGAGTTCAAGCCTCAGGACCAGCACAATAACAACAACAAAAATTAGCTGTAACATACAACTACCTTAAGGACAGCACAGTCTAATATAATTCTGTCAAAGTTGTTTTTGTTATAATAATGTATTCAATCCTCACCTGCATGCCTATACAATACCTATTAGTATCTCTGGCCTAAATTTCAGCTAAAAACTTTGTTAATACAGCTGGTTTTAAGGAAAGAGAGCTTTTTAAAGGATCATGTAGAAGCAATTATCATAATGCAAAGGAGAAAATACTTAACAACCAACCAGTTTTAACTTATATAATGCAAAGGAGAAAATATTTAATAACCAACCAGTTTTAACTTATTTTTCTGAATGACATCTTTGTTTTCCTTTTGGTATATCTCCATTTTCTTTTTTGTGTTTTCCAAATCCACATTGTTGGTCAAGTTGAAAACTGCAGAAAGGAAATAATGTCATGAAATAGTTTTAACAGAAATCGTGAGTAGATAATAAAAATCAAATATTACAAATACTATTTTGTGTGCGTGCACTTGTGTGTGTGTGTGTGTGTGTGTGTGTTTGTGTGTGTGTGTGTGTGTGTGTGTGTGTGTGCACACCAGTTTTGGGACTTGAACTCTGGTCTGGGTGCTATCCCTGAGCTTTTTTTCTCAAGCTAGCACTCTACCAATGAGCCACAGCTCCACTTTCAGCTTGTTGGTAGTTAATTGGAGTTAAGAGTTTCATGGACTTTCTTGCCCAGGCTGGCTCTGAACCATGATTCTCAGATCTCAGCTTCTTTAGAAGCCAGATTACAAATGTGGGCCACCAACACTCAGCCCATAGTGACATCATACTCATTGTATTCCTCCCCTTTTTTTGCAATACTAGAATTTAGACTCAGGGCCTTGAGTTTCCTAGGCAAGCACTCTACCCACCTGAGCCATTCCCCCAGCCCTCACTCTTTTTTTTTTTTTTTATTGTGAAAATACTGTACAGAGGGGTTACAACTACATGGGTAAGGTAATAAGTACATTTCTTATCAAGCATTGTAGCCTCCTCCTTGTTTCCCTTTCCCATCCCATCACTCTTTCTAGCTCTATTTACATCCTTTCTATTCTCTATTTTAGACACTAAATCTCATTATGGTAACTGTATTTTTTCCTGAGCCAACTATAAGGACACACTGTCAGACAATTTCACTTAGTATCTAAATGTCAAGATCAGTCCAGAAAACCTAGCTATCTACTTGCCATAATCACATTATATCTGATTTTTCTAGTCCCCACTGTTTTGAAACATATAGATTGCTGAATGTTTTTAAGTTAAAAAAAAAAGTCTAAGAGCTCATACATCAGTCAGATCAAAACTGAAAAGTTTGTAATCCAGAAATAGTAATCCAAAGAATTTTAAAAATAATATACTTGTATAACTTGTATCAAACAGTTAACATGTTTTATTCACATTCCAATTGTCTCCAACATGACTACATTCAAGCTTGAATTACTTCCCATGTAATCTAATCTAAAAGAGCATGAATAAGAAACAGTTGAGATTTAAGCTGGAAAAAGGATAAAGTGTTACCAAAACTACATAACACTGACACAATTTCTTCAGATAGGACACTGACACATACCTGTTCAGATACTAATACATTTTCAGTAAAATTCTCGTTGTAGTTGTAGCTGAATTGTATTTATATATAAAAATTACAAGATTCTTATAATACTCCAAGTCAAAACATACAAATCTGCTTTGGCATCTATAAGCTCACAGTAAAATACTGTCTTCAACAGGAGGAGGACACAGAATAAGTGGGAAATGGAACAGCATACAACAAAGGGGACCATCAGCTGCACTGGACATAGAAGAAAAAGAACTAAGCAACCCAAAGACAGAGATGGGAAGGGAGGAGTAAGAGGGAAAGAGGGAACAGCCTACATTAAGCAAAAGGAAAGAAATGTAAGTATCACCCGATGTGGAAAAAATAATTTGTATTGTCAAAGCTCATAGAACTCACAAACTGTCTAGACCTTGATAATGACAAAGTGCCTTGTCAAGGTTAAAACGTGTTTGTGAATTTAACTAAGTATCACTATTCCACAATACTGTGAAATATGTGAAATTTATGTAATCACCTAATCTCAATTTTTAAAAAAAGTGAGAGAAGGGATGGGTTAAGAGCAATGAGTGACAATGTTGCCAGACACCTTGTATTCATATACTGTTTTATAGAATGGAAACTTCTTTGTACAACTACTTCAAGATGATAATTTTTAAAAACCTGAAAAAGTCTTCACTACCTCATTTTATAATAGAATCCATATCAAGACTCTTATATAATTCAATTCAGACTTCCTTCACCTTCCCCCATAATCTCTGTCCATCATCAGCCCTTCTACCATTCTCTGATTAATGGTCATTGCCTCCAACTTCTTGTACTACCAACAAGATGAATGCTTTACCCTTTGTGTTCCTATAGATTCTTCATATCTCATTCCTTCTTCAAATTAACAGCCACCTTAAACAGTTCCTATACTTTTGGATTATATATTCCAACACCTACAGGAGTTGGAAAGTCATACTAGAGGATCAACACAGTTATCTGTTTTGTTAAGTATGACCATCAAAAGACCAATCTTTAAGACAGGTATGAAGATGAACACCTATAATTCCAGCATTCAGGAAGCTGAAGCAGAAAGATCTTGAGTCCAAGGCCAACCTAGGCTTAACATAGCAAAGGGGGATGAGGATAGGAAGGAAGAAGGAAAAAAGGGGAGATAAAAGAATTTTATTTTGGGGCTGGGCAGGTGGTTCAGTGGTAGAGCACTTGCCTTGCATGCCTAAGGCCCTGGGTTCGATTCCTCAGCACCACATAAGCAAAAAGAAAAAAGCTGGAAGTGGCACTGTGGCTCAAGTGGTAGAGTGCTAGCCTTGAGCTGAAGAGCTGAGGGACAGTGCCCAGGCCCAGAGTTCAGCCCCCATGACCAGATCCAAAAAAAAAAAAATTATTTTTATCTCTTTAAAGGTCAACTTATACTAGGATATAAATTTATTATAATCATTGTTAAAAATCCAGGCATACTTAGGTATGTAGATATTATTACTCAATTCTATTAAATACAAGTTAAAAACTCAAATGGATTTGAGGGGGGAAAAAAACAGGAGAGAAACAATGTCTATTAACTATATCTCCAGCATTTTTTGATCAATAACAACTTTTAAACTCTGGGACTCTTGCTTGCTTAGCTGGCACTCTCCCATTTGATCTATGTCTCCAGCCCAGCATTTTGCTGGTTATTTTATTTTTTGGGTCCGGTCAGGGGCCTGAACTCTGGGCCTGGGCGCTGTCCCTCAGCTCTTCAGCTTAAGGTTAGCACTCTACCACTTGAGCCACAGTGTCACTTCCAGCTTTTTTCTTTTTGCTTATGTGGTGCTGAGGAATCAAACCCAGGGCTTCATGCATGCAAGGCAAGCGCTCTACCACTGAGCCATCTTCCCAGCCCATTGCTGGTTATTTTAGAGATAGAATTTCTCAGACTTTTCTGCCTGAGGATCCTTCAGCTGCAATCCCTACCCTCAGCTTCCTCAGTAGCTATGATTATTGGTATAAGTCACCTTCAACTGGGTATGTTTTTGCTTTTTAAACACAAAGTAAAAAGAAAATAGTTAAGTGGTAAGCAGGAAATCTAACTTAGTTTAATAGGATGCAATGTTAGGCATTCTGTATTAATCATACTCCAGTTCGGACATGGTTAAAGAAGGCTGCAAACAGCACCCTCCATTAACTAAGACAGTGATTCTACCTTTGTCAATCATTCACAACTTGTCTCTTCATTTACTAGGCCATGAGCCACCCATCTCCATCACCCCAACATTTATCAGGATCACCTTTCTTCTCACTTATTTGTTTGAAGGACTTCTCCATTTTTTGCTTGAAGAATGGACTCTATAGCACACAGGCACTACATCTAATTACCTCATTGAATCATCCTAACATTATAAAATAGGCCTATCATTCACACTTTACAGATAAAGCTTCAATATATCTAAATAATTTTCCAGCATATACAACTAGTAAATGTTAGGACCATGATTTTAATATATGCAAATTCCAAAGACTGACAACATTTATCTATAGTACTAGCTATGTTGTTTCTCTAAATGCTGAGGGGCATTGCTAGACCAGTTCAGCATTCCTCTGGGTCTGTGCAGGCTCTACAACTCTGTATCTCTAACCAGATTTTTCTCTCCATCCATGGGGACTACCTTAATACCAACCTCAACCTGCAACAATTGTTAAAAGCTAAACCTGACCCATTCTTCTATGCTGAGCCTAATCACCAGCTCTTCCTTTCTTACTTGGCTGCAACAATCTCTCCATCCTAGAAGGCCAACATTAGCTATTATCAGTTTGTTAGCTCTGGTTCACTTTTTTTTTTTTTTTTTTTGGGGGGGGGTCCAGTCGTGGGGCCTGAACTCTGGGCCTGGGTGCTGTCCCTCAGCTCTTCAGCTCAAGGATAGCGCTCTACCACTTGAGCCACAGCGCCACTTCTGGCTTTTTTCTTTTTGCTTATGTGGTGCTGAGGAATCGAACCCAGGGCCTCAGGCATGCAAGGCAAGCACTCTACCACTGAGCCACCTTCCCAGCCCCAGCTCTGGTTCACTTTCTACCCTGTATAATTTTTTTTAATGTGTATATCTTGTTTGACCTATAAGAATGCTCCTGCTTACTACTGATTTAACTTTTCATTAATAGAAAAAAAAATTTGCCAGGTGCTGGTGGCTCACGCCTGTTAATTCTAGCTACTCAGGAGGCTGAGATCTGAGGATCGCAGTTCAAAGCCAGCTCGGGCAGGAAAGTCCGTGAAACTCTTATCTCCAATAAACCACCAGAAAACTGGAAGTAGTGCTGTAGCTCAAGTGGTAGAGCACTAGCCTTGAGCTGAAGAGCTGAGGGACAGAGCTCAGGCCCAAAATTCAATCCCCACAATTGACAAAAAAAAGTAAACTTTAATCCTAGTGAGATTTATGTTTAATTATTTCTTTAAATATATGATGAATTCCAGAAAAAAAAGCCCCCCAATGTTTATTTCATTTTTTTTAACTTAGAAGGCAAATCTCTTCCCTAAAAAAGAAAACTGGGCAGTTGTTTTTTTTTGTGGGGTGGGGGGCAGTTAGCTATCTTAGATAAAAGAATTCAGACACAGACATTTGCACAAAATAATATACTTTTAAATATAAAGAATTATATGAATTATATGCAATTCAGAAATAGAAATAGCTTGCCTTTAAATAATTTTCAGAAATAGCTATTCCTTTTATTTATGTTGATTATATGATGAGTGTTATATTCAAGGCCAACAAGCAATGAGTATAAATAAAATTTCATGCATACATCATAAAAAAGGAAAGATTCATCTTCATAGTCACATATGATACTATTTTCATCCTTTG